CAGAGAGAGACCTGGAGACAGAGAGACCCGGAGGCAGACCTGGAGACAGAGAGAGACCTGGAGACAGAGAGTCCTAAAGGGGGAGACCTGAACGGGGGGACGGAGACCCAAGGGGGGGACGGAGACCTGAGGTGCATTTATCAAACTTCAGCGTCGAGTTCTGAACAAATATTTCCGAGTTCAAAGCAGAGATGTTTTCTCAGTGTTTTACTGGTTTCGCTCATAGATTATCTGCAGTGGTCAGTATAGAACCTGATGCCATAGATTGACCTGTAGATGATGACACTGAATAGATCTGGTTATTGATGCTGTGATGGCCCAGCTCCAACCTAAATATCACATTAAAACCTGCTGGAAACACCTGAACTAAAAAGGTCATCATAACTCTCCTGACTCTATGCTGCTGCCAGGTCAGCAGTTACAGGTCATTTCCATCCATTTCTAACATGTCCTGACTTGGTTATCTCCACCATCCACTGAAGGACGCAGGTTAATCTAGTGACCACCAGTTATTTTCATCCTAACTGAGGCCATGATGTTATCAGGTGATGATGACTTCCTGTTAGCATTGGAGTAGCTTTAACTCCTGCTGAGATTACGTCCCTCATTAAATCTGTGACAGATTAAAGCGGCTCGGTCCAAACAGACTGATCATCAAAGCCAGAACGCCTTCATCCGTCTCCCTCTCCCCAGCACCGCCCTCTAGTGGTAAATCCTGCCCACTGCAGAGAGCTCTGTAGGTCTGAAACATTCAGGGAGTAGAACGGAGTGTCCAGGTCAGTGGCGCCCCCTCCAGGCCTGCAGAGGACCTGCCTATCTGGCTCCAGCAGCGTACCTGTAGGAGGCCAGGTCCGGTTCTGTCAGGAACTCTCTCAGCAGCATCCCGTCCGTCATGTACTTCAGGACGGTCCGCTCAGAGGTGCAGTCCTCAAAGCGAATGCTGTACCCCACCTGGAGGACGGCAGGAAGCAGACCGTCACTGAGCCACGCCTCCAGAACATTTTCACGCCCCAGGTTCTGCTGGCGGCGGGCTCACCTCGTTGCCAAGCTTCACGCTCATCTCCTCTGCCACCCGGGCCGCCACAGACATGGCGGCCACCCTGCGAGGCTGAGTGCAGCCGATCTTCATCCCTCCTTTGGTGTAGCCCTGAAAGACGGCGGCAGTTAGAGACACGGACCCACCTGGTACCACGGATCCTGGCTAAACGCTTCCTCCACTGTCAGGGTGAAGAGAACCCGGTTATGATGGCCGCTGGAACTCACGTCTTCCAGGAGGTACTGAGGGATCTGGGTGGTCTTCCCTGAGCCGGTCTCGCCCTCGATGACCAGGATCTGGTGCTCATGGATGGCGGCCAGCAGGTCGTCTCTGTAGGGGAAGATGGGCAGACTGCGGCGGACCTCCTGCATGGAGCGCTTCTTCAGCTCGGCCTGAGACAGCGCCTGCTGCTCCTCCTCCTGAACGCAGCATCAAAAAACGGACATCATCTAGTCTGAACAACAAGCTGAACATTCAGTGGGAGGTAGCTCAGCTAGATCAGAGCTCACAATCAACCCCGTGAACTGGAGATGTTCTGGTGAACAGGACCTGGTTCTAATGAACGGGTCCTGGTGAATAGGTCCTGGTTCTAGTTAACAGGTCC